AGGTGGGGAGAGTCCATTTCAACTCGAGGGGTGACAGGTGGGGCGAGTCCATTCCAACTTGAGGGGTGAAAGGTGGGGCGAGTCCATTTCAAATTGAGGGGCGATAGGTAGGCATGCACATTATTTATGTAATGTTTGGTGCATCATTACTTCAAAAACAATTTATTTTCTACTTTATTTTCAAATATTTGAGAATATACATAAACTCTTCTCAGTACAAATTCATTAAATTTTATCTCGTGTAAAATTTACAGAATACATTAAAGAAAGTAGAAAAAATAGAAAATATTCTCGAAAACGGTCACTAAAAGAAGTAGAAATCCAGTGAATTTTGCCATTAACAATGAAAATGCTATGAAAAATTGGAATCAAACAAACAAACATAACAATGATGATGAAAATGAAACTATCCTAGAATGTAAATGAAAGCTAAGAAATCCAAAGAAACATGGGTCAATCCTAAAGCTATTACGAGAGAAATATTAGGAAGAGGATGAATATTAAATTTTACAGGCAGAGAAAGATGGGATAATTGACTTAAAATTAAGTTATTTTACTAATTAATTTTATCCTACGAATTATTATAGAATTACGAATTATAACAGAAGTATGCCGAATTATGCAATGATTGAATTGTGCAAGAAATATGGACATGTAATAGGGCTTAGGGGCATTTTTAATCGCGGATAATATACCTTTATTTAATTAATACCTTCATTATTTTTGCACATTTAAGACCAAGTGGACTTTAAAATTGGTCAGCAAATACACGATAAAATTGAAGATACATTTTAAAGATCAACTTTTAGACTGTGCCGAAAACGGGAATTGAAAGACTCGTGATCAATCAAATTCCATATATCAAAATATTTTACATTATGCCAAGGGGTTGAAAATTTAAAATGCTCAATTGTTTTTAAATCAATTCAATACTAGGTACATTTAGAAAGCATTTTAATCATTTCATTTTTATGATTGTACGTTGGCAAATCGTCAATCCCAAAGAGTTATATTGATCCGATTTAATTTGTAAGTGCTGAAACGGTTATATTTATATAATCTTACACACACACACCCTTTTTTTACTATAATCAAAATGAGAAACCACAGAGAAATATTTTATTCAATTTTGATGTATGGGACTAGGGTTCCTGAGTGCGAACTGAAGGCTCGGTTGCTTGCAGACGCATGCTGTGCAGTATCTCGGTTGGCTTCTGAAATGAGAAAATATCGTTTGAGAATTTTTTCCTAAACCAACAAGCTCTTAGCTATAGAATGCGAGTAACGTATAATTTACCACAGAGGAGAGGGTGGTTATAACTAAAATGACTTACGTGTACAAAGGTTAGGCTCAGCTAGGTTAGGCTCGTTTCTATTTGATACACGTTTTGATGCAACGTCAAACCTGGAAATTATAATTAATCACAAAGCTTACCTACACAAACGAGATAACCCTGGCATTGGTGCGGGTGTTGTGTAACACGTTCTGCTGTCTTTGATGGGAAACGCATCCAATTTCTTCGTAAACGGTAATAAGAGTCACTGAAATCAAATGTTATAATTTACTTTCATGAAACGATGCCAAAGATTTAATTTAAAAAAGTTACTTAAATGATCACTATAGAAACGTTTTTCGATATGCGACATGATATTAAAGAAATCGGAATTCATATTTCAAACCATGCGAATGCGTACATTAAACCGATGTGTTCAATGCAATCACAAGCTTTACAACAATACCAATTTTGTCCGGTACACAGTTGCACGACAAAATATTCATACGAAAGGAGAGCTACAAAAATATGTTAAGCAGATATTCATAGGAATGACATTCAATTAATGATAAATAAATTATTTGACAGAAGGGTTTAGTTTAAATAAATTTACAAGATTTTAGGAATATTTAAAACTATGTAATCACGACACATTTTCACCGGCAGATTTTGCTGAAGGTTAGGGGATAAAGTGCAGCACCAGGATAAAGACGCCGGTTTTACTTCATTTTGACAAGTTATGAAGCAATAAAAGAAGGTCATTTTTACTGTAATATGTAGGGCACTTGGATAAAAAATATATCATTTGGTTTGGTATTTTTCGTTTGATTTGGGGAGAGTGCCTCGGAAGCTAAGGGAGGGGCTGTGCTCATTACTACATATACTATTCAACTTTTATTTACAGTAAATGAATCATTGTATCAATCACCTTTATCAGTGCATCAACAAAGTGAAAAATGTCTCTATACTGCCAGTATTGCAACCTGCCTTGTCGTCTTACATTGCTTATTACGTGAGACGTCCCTACCTGCAAGCTTATTTATTGGCAGGTGCGTTCTCTCTTGAAAAACAATAGAATATTTTAACTCCAAACTCATGTTTACTTCAAGGGGAACTATCGTTCATGCCAGGAAAATGTCCCCGTGGTCATGATGTCTAAAGCGTGAAAGGAATCATTTTGGTCATACATCGGCAGTACAAAAAAAGAGCAAAGCTTGTTTTAAATCAACTATATAGTACTTACGGCAGCGAGTTGGCGTTTTCAATGCCGATTTCTTCAGCCTGCGTGTAGATATTGTAGAACATGTGGCATGCGACCCCTTCATTCTCCGTCTTCACTGTCCTTGGTCCTATCTGAACACCTCTCACCAAAATGCTCACCTGATTTACATCATAATATGCAGGTCACTCTCTTTCCGCCACAAGCCTCGGTTTAAACTTACGCTTTTCGCATATGACAAGTCAGTAGATTCCCATCCTGGAAAGGGAGTTCGGGTTTTCTAAGAAGTATACTTTTAAACAGACCTAGGATCTAATATATTTTGTTATATCCTATAAAAGACCTATACATGTGCTCATTGCGTCTTTT